CCCCAAAACCCCAAAACCCCAAAACCCCATAATTTTCTATTTCTGTTAGGTTTAATGAAAACAATAATCAAAAACTAGATATAAATTACCATTCATTGTTCGAAGTATTTATGATTTTGAAAAATTTGAGCTCTTTGAGAGGGGAGTTAAAGATCATTTTTTATAGAGTGACGAGGTGATGTTTTAGTTGATTGTGAAGCCTTTTTATTTAGTTGCGGAAGATGCAGTCTTTGATCGATACTAAGCTGCTGTTAGACTTAATTGAGGTTTTTAATCTTGAGATTTTTAACTAGATTTGCAGGGTTTTGATGATTCCCACTAAGATTTATTTTATTATGATTTATTCTAACAGGAGAATTTGCATAACTATTAAACATACTATTATTTTTTATTTGTGGAGAGATTCCAACAACTCTATTTGGATTTTATATCAAAATGACGCTTCCTTTGTTGTCTGTCTTCATTGCTTAATTTTAATGCTATTATATAGACCTAATTTCATGTATCTATTACTAATCTACCTTACTCTTTAACTGATTTTAGTATGTGACAAATTGGTTGATTTCTTATTGCTTAGGAGATGCTTATTATGTATTCTCAATAACATACTCGTTACTCTGTCTTAAAACTCTCATTAATTTTTATTTAGAGCCTTTATCAACAATCTACCGTTTTAATTTAGAATTTAAGTTGTTAATATTGAGACTCAAACTTGGAGACATGTCAAGAATAGATTCCTTTTTAACCATTATTTTTTTATGTTAGCCTGTGTTTGTAGTTTACTTCAAAATTTTAGCCATGTCACTGAACTAATAATCATATACAAGATTTTAGTTGCTATTTTAATTCATGTTAAGGTTATAATTCCCTTGAACTGCACTTCCTGAGCCACTAATACTGATGTTATTTTACTGTCTTTTTTAAGTAGAGATGTTATTAAGTGGTCGTTAAATATGCTATTACTATTATACTTGTTACATCACATTTTATGGTTGATTATACTCCTCATTAACTCTATTTGATAACGGAGAAAATATATCAGCTATGTCACGTTTTTTACCATCTTGTCCGTAAAAAGTCATCTTGCTAAGTGATTACACTTTTTATCTTTAATGGTCAAATGAATTCAAAATTGAACTTTTTGATTCTTCTATAGCATCAATTGCTTTTTTTAGCTTATTTATTCTGCTCTCATTAGATAATTTTTTAACTGATCTCGAATTCTATTAAGTAAATGATGTCGTCTCTGATTAATTTTGATATTTCCTTTTTGCATTAAATTATTTTGGGAACACATATCCTGTGTTCATAGCCGACTATTTAAATCAGCCTTCGATTATTATTTTGTGCTTTATTAGTTCCTAATCTATGATGGGATTTATCTTAACCCAGGTTGTCTTGTAGCGAGCATCATCTAAAGGATATATGCAAGCTCCTTCCTTTTGCAGATTTCCTAGAATGCTTTGCGTTGAAGATGAATTACTTAAAGTATCACTTTGAGGTTCTTAGATACTAGATTTCCTAGAGTTTTCAACTGAAACTTTTTGAGACACGTCCCTATGCGGTTTGCTGAGTATTTTTGAGAGTCTTGATTTTACTTCTTCTTTTTAAGTATTCATTGGCTTTATTATATTACTATTGCTGATTGTATACTAAATTATATGATGATTGCTACTGTGTATATTAGTTAAAGGTTATACTGTTTATTGATTAGGTGGAATTATCTATGAACTCTAAATCATGAGTGGCTAGTTTAGATTCGCAATAAAGAATTGTTATTCATTTTGATTATGCTCGATCTATCTTTATTATTGAGGTTGCTAATGTTAGCTTTTTTCTATCATTCTTAGTTGTGATTGGATATTTCGACCTCTCCTCTAGCTACTTCCTTCTTACTGCTAGGCTTCATTTCTATAATATAGATAATAATTCTGAAATTCATTGAATAATTTACCTATTCCTGACACTTTGTTATTAAGGATTATTCGAAATGACATTTGGATTGGATGTTTACATATGTTATCCACTCTTCTTTTTTAGGAATTTGCAATAATTATTAAAATTTAATTTCTTACATTTCTCTTTTTACTTTAATTATGCCAAACGGGGTTTTGGGGTTTTGGGGTTTTGGGGTTTTGGGG